GAGGACATTGCGTAGCCGTGTCCTTTTCCTGCCCGTTGTCTCTGTTCCCATTTTTCCGTTGTTTTTTTTTCGTGTTTTTATTTTTTTCCGCCGCCACTGCCTTTTCCTCCCAGCGTTTCCAATCTCAATTAATTTGCTCATAAATTTGTTGCCAACTTGCCGGCAGCCCGCCCCCTTAACCCACCACTGCCCGCCCCCTTAACCCTCCACTGCCCCACCGAACTCCAGTGATGGTCAGACCGCCTTGAGAGTTGTCCCTGTCGCTGCTCGATGTCCTTGTTGGTTTTGCTTTATGTCCTGGCAACTTATTTTTGTACCCAGTACTACGACTAGTTGGGGATGGCATTCTGTTCATTTTTCATAAACATTTTATTTTTATTTTTATTCGTAAATAGCTTACATGTTGGCACTAATGTTTCGGATTTTACTAATTAAATAAATGTACTTTAGCAACCAGAATTTTATTTTTATAAATCAAACCAAGCAATTTATATTATAGATTAAACGTTTCCTTATCAACAAGAACAAGAACATTGACAACTCTGAAAAACAAATTGTAATTACTTATAATTGATTGTGATATCAATTGCCTTATAATTAGAAACACACTTAATAAGCGATTGATAAATAAAGAAAACTGTATATAAATGTCTATATTAATTACACGTTAATAACTAAAATAAAGGAAGAATGCTGAAGAAAACCAAACTGTAGGAAGAATAATTACTAAAAAACTGAAGTTATAAATATTATTTATACATATTTAAACACAAGCTGATATAAAACATTTAGCATATTGCATAAAAGTATGAATACTGAAGCGTTTCAAACACTTAAAAAAATACAAATTCTGCGAAAAGCGCACTGCAATACAAGTGTAGAAATTGGGAAGTGCAGGGTATATTTTTGGCCTAAAGCTAAAAGCCGGAGTGATTATTTTTTTTCCTTTGCCAACTTGAAGGAAAATTCTGCTTTATTTTCCTGTTCTCTTTTTTTATTGTAATGCCATCTTATCTGCCTCGGCTTCTTCTTCAGCTCGGTTGATGTATTTGCCTTGGTTTGCTTTTGGCCTTGTTTTTTAGCCTTTCCTTTATGTATTTTAATTTATGCTCGGCTTCTGTCCTGTTTTTTATATGCCCCGGCCAACGTTGATTTCTATCTATTGAGATTGAGACAACATTCTACTTAAGAACAACGCAAAAGAAAAAAAAAAGCAGGCAAAAGAAGAGGGAGTGGGGGAAAAATGTCGTTTTTATGGCGCTTAATTAACTTGGCTACCATTTTCTAATTGCTTTTGCTGTCTGATTGACTTTTGTTTATTTATTGTGATTAGAAAATTGCCTTAACAGAGGCGGCGACCGCAGAAAAAAGGTTTTCTTTGCTTTCAAGGGGTGAATCTTTCAATTTTCCGGCGGCAAGAGGTAGACATATTTGCTGCTCCATCCGGATTACGGATGACTTTGAGTAGCGCTAATGATCACACAACCCCACAGCTATTCAGTCCTCAAAAAAAAAATATATTTTCCTCTCCTTTCCGGTCTCCCTTTTTGTTTCTGTTCCCTTGGCTTTTACTTTCGACTGACTTTGAAATGCGCAGATTTATTGCGACAATTTGTTTAATGACAGGCATTTATTTTGATGGCGCCATTCCGCATGTGAGTGAGTGTGTGCGAAGGGGAGCAAAGGGTTCCCTCATAGACATCTAATGAGTGTTGGCCCCCAGTTTGGTCCCCCCCTCCTCCCCCTCTTTACACCCTTCGCCCGTTGCCACTGACAATTTAATTATTTTAAGCCAGGCGCATCCTTCTTCGCAGTCCTGGATGAAGACATCTGAAAGTAACCAAAGTTTTTCTCTGAGTCACTCTCGCAGGGCGGAAAGTTTTGATTCTACTCCGGGGATTTTGGGGCAACAAGCTGATGGGAGGGTTATTGAAATAAAATGGTTCTGTTTTATATAATCTAACAACTAGTAAAAGTATATTACAAATGCTTATTTTACTATACTATACTATAGCTTGCAATTGGGGAGCTTTTTGACGTTCCGCGGACTTCAGAGCAACAAGCTAAAGGAAAAATTATTGGCATAAAAACATTCCGAAATTCTTTTCTATGTAATACAAAACTATATATATATTATATTAACAATGCTCTTAAACATTATTAGCTTTTTCTGCGGATATTTGAAATACTTATTTATAAGTTATTTTTTGTGACATTCATCCCAATCATTTAAAAACTTCCGCTGATGGGTGAATGCTATATAATGGAAAGAGCTCTATATATAGTAAACTAACACAGACAAAAGATTTTTATGGAAAAATTAAATATTAATTTGCGTACTTAAAACTAAGCTGTAGATTAATCTTTTATAAGTCCTAAGCACTAAAATATTAGCTTCCAATTAGAGCCTTTTTGACATTCCAGTTCATTCCTTTAAAAACTCCACCCAACTCCATTGTGTCCCTTGTCCTGAACAAATTAGCCAGATATCATTTGCACTGCCTTCGCCTGTCAGGACCCTACGAACGAGGGGAGTGCATGCGGTCCTTCGTCCTTTTTTATATCCTGAGCTGCTAAGCAGGCAGCGAAGAAAACTCTGCTTATTTGTAAACGATCAATCATGCAGTGCAAATGTGATGACACCAAAAGGGGGCGGCAGTTCGGGGGCGGGGCTGGGCGGCTTTATGTCCTTCGCATCCAACCCGCAGCGACAATTTATGCGGGGTACGAAAGCACCATATAAGGCGCATATAATGATATATACATGTTTTTTTTCACAACTGAATATAATAACGAGCAGGCTCTTGGAGCAGGGGCTACAGAGAAAAAAATTCAATTCGGTCAATACATCCATTTCTTTAATTATATTTCATTTTGTTACCTATGAGAAGTAATCGTAAGAAAAGTACATTTGTCTTAAAAATTCTTTGGTTTCTTGAACAGAAAAATAGTTGTGACTTTTTTTTTTCATACTCAACTTAACAAAATTTATTTTTCATATTTTTACATTTTCAATGCTTTAATATTAAGTAACTGAATCTGATATCAATACGATAAATACCTGTAAATGGTCAATTCAAATATATGTTCGGACATATATGTACAAAATCTCATGCATTTCACAATTTCGTCTATAGCAAGAATCTGAAGCTTTTAAAATCCAAATATTTTTAAACAAATTATGCTCTTAATCAGACAGTATAAAGAAGCCTTTAGAATGCCTTACCTGGTAACATGTTAAGACTTACTTTTAAAATTAAAATATAAATATTGTTTCAGTGTTGTTGGGCAGGGGGTGGGGCTGAGGCGGGACAGCCCAACAACTGAACAACCAACAACCGAACAACCTAACAACCGACAACGACGATAGTTGTGGCACATATGAAGACAAGGGTCTGTCAAATACAAGTTTCTGGCGTGGCCCAAAGCCCACGCCCACGCCCCCTTTCTCGGTGGCCACCCGTTGCCGCCCCAATTGCCAAAACCCCCCTCCCCCTTCCCCACACCTCCTCATAAACGCAAAAAAAGCAATGTAAAAAAATGAAACCAAGAAAAATTGAAGATGTTTTTAAAGCCAGTACACCGACAATATTGGCAGACTGTCGGTTGCTCGAGGGGTGTCCTTTTTTCCAGGAGGCGGAGAGGGGTCAAGGGGTGGCAACAATATAAGAAGCCACACACACACTCGCACACATACACACGCACACTGCTGCCTTAAATTGACAGTACACAAAACTGTCAAAAGCAGCAACTGAAAATCGGGGAAGGAGTGGCGAAAAGTCTGCGAAATATATGCGCGTGCTTTGTGGTTGAAATATTTTTTTAAGGACCCCCAACTCTTGCAATTTTGAAGAACTTAAAGTATAAACATCGGTAGGTCCCCCTCAATAAAAAATGAATATTTAGCTAAAGTCAGGTTGAGCACTAAGAAAAAAGTCATCAAGTCAAAAGTAAAATCATTTCCTTATTTTGCGAAAATAGTATGGCAGGATTACATAGTTTTTAAATGAATTAAGTACACGTCCAAGTAACATTATATATCGAATGAATGAATGCTTTTTTTTCTTAAGCTTTTGGCTACAGTGTACTTTAAATAAGTTGGCCAATTTTTGTTTTCGAATTATGACCAGTTTCGTTGGCTCTCTTCACTTCAGTTAAGTAATTCCATTACTTAAGAATATAAGCTAATCTTTTGAAAAGCTTTTTTAGACAAGTGTTCAAGGAATGGTTTTTTCTGTGTACAAACTCGTAGAAAGAAAGTGAAGAAAGTGATGGTGGTGGGAGACTCCTCGAGCAGCGGCAATTCTTCCGATTCAAGATTCGAAATCCTCGCTGGGCGGAAGACAAACATTTACATTAGTCTGCCAACTAGGCAGAAACTTGTTGGAGCACACACACACCGACACACACACACCCTCGCATAGACAGCGAATAAATGAAGTTGCTAACACACACTCCACCCCCTCCTCTACCACCCTCTTCACCCCTAAAACGCAAGTCCCGCAGACGACAGCCACTTTTTTGGCAAACAAATGCGAAAACAACGACAAACTACGCAAAAAAGTATGCTATACAAATATGCGATGTGCGCTTCCTGCTTGTTATGTGTGTGTGTGTGTGTGTTTGGCAATTGAAGTGTGTATGTGTGTGTTTGGCAATTGAAGTGTGTGTGTGTGTGTGCGGTTGAGTGTTTACATATATTATAGCCAGGATGGAAGACAGGGTAGCTACTGCGTTTTAGAACGCCACATTAACTACACAACATTGAACCATCTGAGAAAAGGCGGCTACACAGCGAGAAAATATCATGGTACCCGATTTTATCCCATACAAATGGCTTTTACTTGCGACAAATTAAGAGGAAAATGTATGCTAATAATATATTTTAATATTTAATTTTAGTTTTACCTTATGTAGTAGGATAAGTCACTGACTATATATATTAGTATGTACGAGTATACACAGTTATGAATATGTTTTAGTGGTATAACTCTATTATTTAAATATTACGTTAATAATCGTTAGTACTTAGAATAATTAGCTTTTATATAGTTGCCAATCTGGCAACTCTGAAATGTTAAATATCGGTGCTGATCGCAGCCAACTTCGCGTTGTCTAATGTTAAAACCGACGCCATGTAATTTAAAAGCAATTGCGCATAAGAACTAAGAGAGAACGGTCAAGTATAAATAAAGTGTAATTAATATTAAACCCCGTTTGTGCTACTATAAACTTCAGAAGTGGTCCTGACCCATAAAATGGATCTAATTGATGCACAGCAATTTACGGTCGTCCAGCTAAAGAGGTGGTTGGCGGCGCTGAACTTGCCAACCAGCGGCAACAAAGCAGAACTTGCAGCACGGCTGAATAGCGTGGACTCCGGAATTCGTGGAACTCGTCCACAAACCCCATTGTTGGAAAATGATGATCTACTCCAGGAGTTGGCGCTGGATGACGACTTGGGGGAGAATTCCTCTGTGGAGGATGCCGATCTTAGGTCGGAGCTGATTTCTGCAGCAGCTACAAGGCCAAAAGGAGACGAGTGGTTTGATGTAGCCGACGGAGTATTGTCGCTACAACAAATACGAGCTGAAATTGAGGCTGGCAAAAAAGAGCTCCAGAACATTCTGGCGCAAATAAGAGACGCGTCACAAGCAGTTGCCAGTGACGTCATCAACAACGCAAAAAACTGCAACCAAGCAGTGGTAGCCGGAGAAGTCATGCAAGCAGTAGTCGGCGAAAACGTCAACGAAGTAGTTGGCGAAAAAATACCAAATACCGATAAAAGTGCCGATATTGATATTGGCACTGATATCGATGTCAACAAGGGTGTTGAGCAGCGACAAATGGCAGAGGTAAACAAAGGACTTCAGTCGACAAACTTTTCACTTTCTTTGGCCAAAGAAATCATCATGGACTATGATGGTTCATCGTGCGCAAACATTTGGACTCAGCAAGTACGAAACATTGCTGATCTGTACAACCTGGATGCAGTGGGCGTGAAAATAGTGATTGTGTCCAAACTGAAGGGAATCGCCCAGCGTTGGTTGCACGCAAATGCAACGCGCATCATGGAGCCAGCAGAGAATCTGTTGGAACAGCTGATCTTAGCATTCAGTGATAAACTTTCCAAAGCAGAAGCCCGGCGCAAATTTGAAAATTTGAAGTGGCACCATACCGAAAAATTCGCGGTATACTTTGAAGCTAAGACAATGCTGGCAAGCAGCATCAACATCGAGCCTGACGAGTTGGTTGACCAGATAGTCGAGGGAATACCAGCACAGAATTTGCGTGATCAAGCCCGGATCCAGTGTTTCACAGATCCTATGCAAATTCTGCGTGCGTTTGCTGGTATCCGTTTGAGCAAGCCCAAGGAGTTTGTTTCAAAGGTGATGACTACAAATCGAAGCAACAACGGAGGACTCCGCTGCGCTAACTGCAACGCCAGAGGACACATCGCCAAGGATTGTCGAAAGCCAGCAAGGGAGCCAGGATCTTGCTACGCTTGTGGCAAATTCGGTCACTTTGTAGCCCAATGCGAAGAGAAGAAGGGAAATGCTGAAAACAATTATGTAAGGTATTTTAACATTCATTTTGACAGGCAAATAATATCTCCTATGGTTGCAGCATGCATCCTAGACTCTGGCAGCCCTATTTCAACTACAAGAAGTCACCGAACATTATTTTGGCATAAACAAAAGCCCATTGAAGATATACGGAAAAATTTTATGTTTTGTACTAAAAAAAAGAAAAAAGTGTTATTTTAATTTAACGGTTGTTGCCAATGAGTCTATGATTAATGATGTGGTATTAGGTAGAAATTTCATGCAAGCTTGCGATTTGAATTTAGATTTAAGAACTCTAAAGATGATAACAGTAGAAAATGTATCAAAACATAACCCAAAGCAGCCTACTAAAGATCTGTCACTGCATATTGCTGAGATCAGTCATAATATTGAGTGTTTGGATAATGATATAACTGAAAACGTTTTAGAATGGTCAACTGAAAGTTTAAAAGCAGAGCACGCAGTCGCTAAGAATCACCATGAAAAAATAAGGCAAACGGCTATGATACAAGGTAGTGAAACGGCAGGTCAAACAGTTAAGCGACAAAACAGTGAAACGGTAGGTCAAACAGTTAAGCGACAAAACAGTGAAACAACAGGTCAAACAGTTAAGCGACAAAACAGTGAAACAACAGGTCAAACAGTTAAGCGACAAAACAGTGAAACAACAGGTCAAACAGTTATGAGACGAGACGGTGAAACAACAGATAAGACAGTTATGAGACAGGATAGTGAATCAATAGAACAACCAAAAAATAAAACAAGTCAATAAAAATACAGATGAAACGATGATAAAGGAACAAAAGATGGTAAATGTAAAAATGCAACTAGAAATCGACGATTTTGAAACCGAAATACTGAACATTGACTTTACAAACGATGAAACCATTGATTTTAACTGGGACAAAAGCACAACTTATCAAATACAATGTCGATTCTTAAGAATAATTGAAAACAGCTATGTGAAAGCAATTAGACCTGAAAAGCCTAAGATTAGAGCAGAAATTAAATTATGTTTAGAGAATGCAAAGCCTTTTAGTTGCAGTCCTCGACGATTATCATATACAGAAAAGGATAAGCTTCAAAAATTATTAGATGAATATTTGAAAAACGAAATAATAAGACCAAGCGAATCAGAATTTGCCTCTCCGATAGTTTTAGTCAAAAAGAAAACAGGTGATATTAGACTATGTATTGATTATAGGAAACTTAACAAAGCACTGCTAAAAGACAATTACCCACTTCCACACATAGATGATTTATTAGATAAATTAGTTGACAAAAGAGTATTTTCAAAGTTAGACCTAAAAAATGGATACTTTCATGTTTTTGTAAATGAAGAATCTGTTAAATATACGTCCTTCGTAACTCCACTAGGACAATTCGAATTTTTAAGAATGCCAATGGGTATAAAAAATGCACCGGCTGTTTTTCAACGTTTTGTTAATAAAATTTTCGATGACATGATTAGAGCCAACAAAGTAGTAGTTTACATGGATGACATAATGGTTGCCAGCAAAAATGTTAATGAGCACTTAGAAACGTTAGACGAAATTTTTAAAAGGCTTACTCAGAATAGATTGGAACTTCGTATGGATAAATGTGAGTTTTTGAAATCAAATATAAAGTATTTAGGATTTTTAATCTCTGAAAATGGTATTAGGGCAGATGATAAGGGCATCGAAGCTGTGAAAAATTTTCCAGTTCCCTCAAAGGTTCAGGCAGTGCAAAGTTTCTTGGGACTTTCTTCATATTTTCGAAGATTCATAAAGGATTTTTCTACTATGGCAAAGCCATTGTACGATCTTTTGAAAAAAGACAAACCATTTCGATTTGGAGAAGAAGAAATGAATTGTTTTCTAAAATTAAAAGAAAAGCTTATCGAGTCACCTGTAATAGCGTTATATAATTACAAAGATGATATAGAATTACATTGTGACGCGAGTGCTTTAGGGTTTGGTGCGGTGCTTCTACAAAAGAAAGACGATGGCAAATTACACCCGGTATTCTATTTTTCTAAGCGTACCACCGCAGATGAAGCTAAATTGCATAGTTTTGAACTCGAAACTTTGGCAGTTATATATGCTCTTCGTAGATTTAGGATATATTTGCAAGGAAAACATGTCAAACTAGTAACAGATTGTATCGCCCTTAAGTTAACATTAAATAAAGCAGAACTTAATCCAAAGATCTCAAGATGGGCATTAGAGATGGAAAATTATGATCTTGAAATATGTCACAGAGCTGGGAACAAAATGCAGCATGTTGATGCCCTCAGTAGGTATAACAGTATTCTAATAGTGGAAACCAACAGTTTTGAAGAAAATTTAATCATCTGTCAAGGAAAAGATCTAAGAATTAAAAAACTTAAAACCATGTTAGAAAAGACAGAACTTAAGTTATTTGAAATGAGGAATGGTGTAGTATACAGAAAAGCGAATGATAATAGGATACTATTTTACGTACCGGAAGAAATGGAAGATCAGGTATTATATAAATACCATAACGAAATAGGGCATGTAGGAAGGGATAAAATGATGGATATAATCTTAAAAACGTATTGGTTTCCGAGTTTAAAAGAAAAGTGTGTATCACATATAGAAAATTGTTTAAAATGTGTAGCGTTTTCACCAAAATCAGGAAAGGGAGAAGGCTTTTTGCACAGTATCCCCAAGGGAAACAAACCGTTCGAAGTAATCCATATTGACCACTATGGTCCAGTAGACTCATCAAGAGCAAAGAAACATATTTTCGTTGTAGTTGACGGATTTACGAAGTTCGTCAGACTGTATTCAACTAAGTCAACGAACACTAAAGAAGTAATAACAGCATTAAAAGATTACTTTAGAGCTTACAGTAGGCCAAAATGTATAATTTCGGACCGTGGTAGTTGTTTTACGTCTAAGGACTTCGAGGAATTTATGGAAGAAAATAATGTTAAACATGTCAAAATAGCCACAGGCTCACCGCAAGCAAATGGTCAAGTTGAGAGGATTAACAGGAGCCTTGGACCAATGATCGCGAAACTAGTTGATCAAAGTAAAGGTGTATACTGGGATAACGTTATAGATAAAATAGAACATGCTCTCAATAATACATTGCATAGAAGTATAAGACAACTTCCGAGTAAGATGCTTTTCGGTGTAGGACAAAAAGGAAAAATAATCGATGAACTTAAGGAAAGGCTAGAAGATATAAATGAAAATCCAAAGTCAGATAGTTTAACACAGATAAGAAAACAAGCGGTGACTCACCAAAAACAAGTTCAAGATTATAATGAGAAGTATTACAATAAAAGTCGAGTAAAGGCTAAGAGTTATAAAAAAGGAGACTACGTAATGGTGAAGAATTTTGATGCGACTGTTGGTGCTGCTAGAAAACTGATTCCCAAGCATAAAGGACCTTATATGATTGCGAAAGTGATGCGCAATGACAGATTTTTACTAAAAGACGTCGAAGGGTTTCAATTAGCACATAAACCTTACATAGGTGTTTGGAGTGCGCAGAACTTAAGACATTGGATAAGGAATAAAAGTAAAAAGTAATAAAAAAACATATAGTTTAGAATAATATGAAAATATTGTACATAGATATGCATTATTTGTAAAAAAATCTAATTTTGATCAGGTGATCAACCGGTCAGGATGGCCGAGTTGTAGTAGGATAAGTCACTGACTATATATATTAGTATGTACGAGTATACACAGTTATGAATATGTTTTAGTGGTATAACTCTATTATTTAAATATTACGTTAATAATCGTTAGTACTTAGAATAATTAGCTTTTATATAGTTGCCAATCTGGCAACTCTGAAATGTTAAATATCGGTGCTGATCGCAGCCAACTTCGCGTTGTCTAATGTTAAAACCGACGCCATGTAATTTAAAAGCAATTGCGCATAAGAACTAAGAGAGAACGGTCAAGTATAAATAAAGTGTAATTAATATTAAACCCCGTTTGTGCTACTATACTTATAACAAGAGAGGAAGAAAACTTCGGCAAGCCGAAGTCTATATATATCCTTCCACTTATTACAAAACGCTTACATTTCGATTTCTATACCTATATTACTAAAAACAAAATAAAGCTTTGTCGATTTTCTATGGCAGCTATCATAGTTTTCCGATTTTGACAAAACCAAAAGCGTAATTCTGATATAGTAAACAATTACTATATCTCGAAAGAATATTTTGAAAAAATAAAAAAAAAGCAAAAAACCTTTTTTTTTTAATGTTAATAAGAAAACAATGGGATTTTAATTTAATTAATACCGAAATTCCATAGTATTTAAATATAACTAAATCCCAAAGAACAAAAAAAAAAATTAAAAACCACAAATTTATATGATTCGATTGTTCGATTGTTCCTATAGGAGCTTTATGATATAGTCGCCCGATCCTGCTCGTTCCAAATTATATACTACGGACGGACAGTCGGACATGTCTAGATCGACTCGACTGGTGATGCTGATCAAGAAAATATATACCTTATAGGGAAATGTCTCCTTCACTGCGTTCCAAACTTCTGGCTGAAATTATAGTACCCTCTGCAAGGGTATAAAAACAATGTAATAAAGAGTAAACAGTTTTATTTATGGCGATATTGATGTCCAATAGTCCAACCAGAAAATAGAATAGAGAATGAGAAGTATTAATGACAGTCTTGATTAGCATAATGTATGTTAAATGAAATACAAAGTGTGTATGTGTGTGATGTTATATTTGTTTATTACATTTACATTTGTTTGTGTCTTACATATTTTATGCTAATCCCACAATAAACGCGTAAGTTTTCGGAAAAGATGACCCTTAACTCGAAAACCGGTGTCGCCAAGGGCGATATTTTGTTTTTGACGCGGTTTCATCCGCTTCTCGCTCCAAGAATTGTGTTATTTTCGATGGGATCGATGGAGGAAATGGAACTGGTGCGCAAACAACTGACACCTCCAGAACCAGACGAGCAGGTTGTTGACCCAAGCGAATCTAGTTATATAATAGGCCGCCGAATCGAAATCGATCCACAGTCTCAAACGGAGAGATCCAAAGTAAACAAGCAATCCAAGATGCGTGCTGCAGTCGTGTTCGTTGTTGTGATTTTCGCACTCCTCAGTGTCCTGGAGGCTGTGCCTGCTCCCCAGTTTGGATACGGTGGCTTTGGTGGCGGTTATCCCGGCTATGGTGGCTTTGGAGGCGGTTATCCCGGCTATGGTGGCTTTGGAGGCGGTTATCCCGGCGGCTATGGCGGCTTTCGCGGGAACCCTGGCTTCGGAGGCGCCAGCGCCAGTGCTAGTTCATCAGCCTCCGCCGTCGGTTTCGGTTTCGGATAACGACCTGTAGATACATATGTATTCCTTTTCAAATTTGATATCAATAAACCAAATTCAATATTCTAATGACTCCAAAAGTTGTGGTGTTGTGTCTATGTGTAAAAATACCTTTCGGGCTTGTATATATCCGATTTCCTAGATTTGTTTTAGGATCACAATTCGAAACAGCTTATCGTAATCTGTATTGTTTTATTAATATATATACTTCGAGATATAATAATTATAAGCAATTTTAGAATAAGGTTTTTCGTTTTTTAACAAGAAAGGAAGAAAACTTCGGCAAGCGGAGATTTATATACCCTTGCAGTTATTAAAAAATAACTACATTTTGATTTCTATGAATATGTTACTAAAAAAAATGTCGAATTTGCGCTGCATTTTGCCATCGTTTCCATGCCAGCTATATGATATTGTTGTCCGATTTAAATTAAATAAGTTACTTTAGACTTTATCATGTCAAATTGAGGAACTATATGGGTTTTTTCTCTAAAACTAAAACAAATGAAAATAAATACAAAGTAGTGCTTTGTTTTTCTCTGTATAAAACAAGGAGAGAATGGCAAAAAGGCGCAGGAGGAACAGAAGGACAAGTGATAAAAACTCGCAAGGCAACAGCAAAATGGTCGTCATCGTCAACATCGTCGCTGGTCGTAAGCAAAACAATCTGCAAAAAAGGCGTGCACACAGGACTAAAAAAAAAAACACAGAGCACACAAAATATATATCCTTAAAAACCGGCAATGACGACTGTGAAATGATCTATATGTCCAGTTACAAAATTATGATGATGAGATTGTTTTGATTTTGGGTACCTAAAATAGTGTTTTATACTCATCTTTATTTTATTTTTTATTTACTTAAAGATTTTGTCACGTGCTCAAAATAAATATTTTTCAAATAAGTCTTTATTTAATATTCTTTTACTTAGATGGCAATAAATAATTAAATATTCTTTAGGAAATACCATACAAAAATATAGTTGGAGGGCAAAGATATTGTTTACCAATTTTGTAAAGTCTTTCTCAAATCGTGGCAACCATGGAAACAGATCCTGCAACTCTCACCTGGAGGCGAGTGACCTAAACGGTTCACATCAGTGGCAGGCAACTAATATTCCGTGATTCCATGGTTCTAGCTCCCACTAGGTTCCCCCGTGTCCTTCATATCCTTCGCGTCCTGCGGCCAAGCCGGCGACTCTTGGCTGGCAAATGTTTATGTTGCCATAGACGCTCGATGTCTGGCAGTGGATTTGGCTCAGCCCCTCTCCCCCCTCGCCCTCCTCGCCCTCCTGGCCACATCCTGGTCTTGTATCCTTGCGCCAGCGATGAGTAGCTATATCATAAGCAAAAGGCTCAAATAAGATACAATAATTAAATACAATCAACAATTAACATACTGACTTGCGGTGAATTTAAAAATAAATTGTTCATATGCAATGCTTACATTATTAAATTTAAGAATTTTAATGAATGAGTTTTAAAAATTTTTTTATGACCTCCATATAAGATATTAATTTTTCGAAATAAAAGTACTATGGAGAGCAATAGCAATTTATGAATTATTTAGTTTACTGAAAATGGTATTATAAATTATCGATCTGGAGCCGGCTGGAATAAATTCAAACAGGTCAACGAAATCCACAAAAAGTACTTATTTAAGTCAATGTTAATTTTTATTTTTAAGTAAGATATGTCTTCGAATAAATAAATTTAAATTAGGTTAAGTATTAAGTTTTCCTTGATTTTTTCTGTGCCATTAAAAAATACCCAAGATGACAGATCTGATTTGCATTGCATTTTTATGCCGGCATTTAGCAATTTTCCCTGCCCTGTTCCTGTCGCCTCCTTTCGCTTTTCTTTGCCTGCATGGAAATTCAAATTCCACCCCCTCGACCGACCAGTTTTCCACCCGCTTGCCACCCACCCTCCACCGCCACCCCCTTGTGTACTTTTATTCTGCCATTTGCCATTTTGCCGGTTGCCCATTTTTGTCAACGTAATGATGCGTTATGCTCAGACAGCTTAGCCATGGATGCGTTTTTCGGGGGGTGAGGGGCTAAGGGGCTAAGGGGGCGTGTCAAGCGGTTTGCTGAGTTTGCTTTTAATTTCCGTTTGATTTGCGCCACTCCCACGCTCTGGCAGCTGGAAAAACTTTGGGGGCGTTAATGAGAAAGCAAAGGAAAACTTTGACTGCATGTCACACATATACCGTAAATGTGCATATGTGCACAGGGAAAAATTAATAAAAACAAAAGAGAAAAGCCAACTTCCGCAAGCCGAAGTTCATATACACTTGCAGCTGATACAAAAGTTAAATATAGAATATATTTCGAAAATAAATTATGCTATATCGATTTTCCGAATCATTTTTCGATCATTCCTATGGCGCGCGACTTTTTTAAAATTAAAACCGTGTGTTTGATATTGTTAAAAATTACTCTATCTCCGAGCATATGGGTGTATGAACGGAAACAACGAAGTAAGAATGGGAGATATATGATAAAATCAACCGTGTTATATACTACCTGCAATAGAAAGAAGACCGCGCAAATAACATTCATTTTCGTTTATTTTTCAATTGCTTTTAACTGCGACTTTGGTCCATAAGTCACCTATTAAAACAAAAAATATATTTATATACACAGGTATAGGATAAAGTCATCAAATTTATTAGCCAACTGTTTATTGCCATGATGTAATGCTGAAGATGGGGTTTACAAACATAAAACCATATAAAATCAATTATTTCTCTTTTGTTTTTTTCCTGTGTGTTGGTCAAAAGGGTTTTAGCCAAATTTTAAAACAATTTCATTTAGTTGCGGATAAAAGAAACACAGAGTGGGCCGGATGGCGTTGGAAAATAAACCAAAAGTTCGGCCATGCCATGCCATAAACTTTTGGCCAGCGCAAACTTTGTCGCTCCATCTCTGTCTATCTGTGTATCTGTCTACCTCACTCCCCCCCACTCTGTTGACTTTGATTGCCGGCTATAAAGTTGCATATTTGTATTTGGCTTGGCTGTATCACTGGCTGCCTGCTGCTGCTGTTTTGATTTATTAATTACAATTTATATTGTCGCATCCGGCAGGACGACGTGGCCCTGACACTCGACAAGGACCGCAAAACAGCAAACGCTGGGGCTCGGAGCATACATTTTCCGGGCGGACGGGGAAAATCCGGGAAAATAGGTATCGGCAGAGTTGGTGGCCCAGTTCATAAGGTAATCACATCATCAGGTCGCTTTGAGGGAAACTATGTGGGCCTTCGAAGGCCAATATACTCGTATGCATTTAGAGTTGGGGACTTCCTACATACTTATAACTAAATATTTGTTTTTAAATTTGGTTTTCGATTTTACCATAAGGGTCAATTTGTATACCCTTACAAAGGGTATCATAGTATAAGTCAAAAATTAAGGTCACATTTCCGACCCTATAAAATATATATATTCTTGATCAGCATCCTAAGAGGTACCCTCATGATTTATTTCGAAAAATACATTTGGTTGGAAATTTTATAACGAATTCAAAGAGGTATGACATTCCAACGTTCGGCTATTATATTTCAGGATTTTGATTTAAAAACCCCATTAATCGAGCTGATGTTCCCGGATTTTGGCCAAAATATTTTTTCTAAGGGGTACACTCATTATTTTTTCAAAAAATATATTTTTATCAATTTTTTTTCTGAGAATACCACTTGATTGGAAATTTTATAACGAATTCAACGAGATATGCCATTCCAACATTGGATCGTTATTTCTCATCGTTTTGATTTAAAAACTGAAAAATCTATTTAATTTCCAAATTTTAGAAAAGAAAACTTCTCTGCTGTGAAGTAGCCCACACCTTTTTTTTACAGACATTCGATTTTAAGGTGCATACTTCTTAATGATTGTGAATTAATTATCTTATACCATAGTCCAGAAAGAGTTAATTGTTATCATTTTGTGCTCCCCCTTACACTCTTTTCCAAAATTAACACTTTAAAGTGGTACTAACGAATTTCTATATTTTTTTTCATAAAAACCTGATCCTTTAAAATATGCCTACATTTGCATATTTTTTAAAATTTGTACCAAACCTTCAGGGAAATAGGAAATTTATACTTTGCCATTAAGTGGAAATTGTTAAAATAAATTAAACTACAAATGAATTGCTTAGTCTAAGAGCAATTTTTCTTCTCCATTTTAGGAAGTACCTTCTTTTCGCAATTTTTCATTGAATAATCAGCGAAATTACATGTTGGCAAAGGGAAAATGTTTAATTTTCCTTCGCTATGTTCGATTTCAGCTCGGGGCATGCAACATGTTCGATGGCCAACATGTTCGAATATCAATTCGCTTGCACTGGTTCCACTTGGTTTTTCCACCAATTTCCCTGCCGCTTTCCACCCATTTTCCGGCGCTGTCATATTTAATGTTGTCCTAAGACCATTCACGAAGGCTTTGATTCGTTTGAGCCTTGGCAGCTGCGTGCCGTGGAGTACAAAGCAAAGAACGGAGAAAAGCTCAGCCCGATTTTCACTTTTCCCGCCCGTTTCCCCCTCATTTCTTTCTTCAAGTAAACTCATTTCGAGGCTTTTGGGGTTTTAATATGCTCAAGGATTTATTTTACCAGGCTCGGTCTGTCTCTTGCTTCCCCAATCCCCCACTTCCACCGCATTTTTCCATCACTTGACTAACCCATTAATGACCATTGGTGACTTAGAAAAATGCTGCATGCAATCTACAAGTTTTAAAAGCCTAGTTCAAATATTCAAAAGCTTAAAACCACCAAAATAAATTACAACTAAAGTCGTAAAATATTTTAATTTATGAGTTTGTAATATTTTTAATCTGCGTTCAAATTTTAATTTAAACGATTCAAAAGTTGTGATAATCAGAGTAAGATATATCGTTCTTGTCGACACAAGTTAACCATTAAGTTTAATTTCTATTATTAATAAATAATAATATCTCTACATTTTAAGGACAAAAAGTGTTGCTTAGAAACCATATTTAATGGGTTAAAAGCGAGTCTGGTCAAACTTTTGCAGCCATCTACCAACAATGGGGCATTGATCATCGCCTGTTGGGG